TATATATATATATATATATATAAAAAGAGTATATGTTTGTGGGTCCTCTAACTTTTAAAACATTTATCTTAAAAAACAAGGAAACTAAAATTGGACCATTAGATCTAAGATGCACGGCTGTGATGTTGTTATTGGTAATCCATGAGAAATCATTTCAACCAATCACAATAGAGAATGTAATATTTACTCTCAAATAAACACGGATAAAGGAAAAAATGAAACTTGGTTGCCCTAATATACATTTACCTCTCAATCCGCCGTCACACACATTCACCCCACATCTCTTTCTCCTCCTCTCGGAAGGCATTGAACCACATAACCCACAGAAATCGGAATTCGAAAGCCACCGAATCCATCGTTCGCTCACCCTTCCTCACAACAGCCACCACAGCCAGCCACCTACAAACTTCTTTCGTCGAATCATCAAATCCTCGTTCCCTTTGTCGTGTGTGTCCAACGATTTTGGCGTGCCTTTCGATTTCATCTACTAGGGATCCAACAATCTTGAAGTCTTCTAAGAGTGTATCGATTAAACAAGAGAAAGGTTTGGTTTTATAACTTGGTTTGATTTACATTTCAGAAAATCTGGAACGTAACATCCCAAGAACCTTGAACAAACCATCGTTGCTTTTGTCTCTTGGTGTTTTAGATATTTAACATGTTATACTTCTGTTAATTGTGTTTTAACTGTTAAGAACCCTAAACCATCTGACCGTATCCCATATATGTCACACCCCCAAACCGGAACGGCGGAAACGTTCGGGGGCGGAGGACGTCATGTTTAGTATCACAACACATGCATCATAGTAATCAAAGTAACAAACAACCATTGCATTAATATTGAAGTGTTTTACAAAGTATGTGATTCACAAAAGGTTGACTCTAAAGTAAATAACAAAACAAGACATGAAGCTACTATACTCCATCTTCTGAATCCCAGTGTGCGTACCTGTCTACTTGTAACATCCGGATTCCCAAATATCTTATTTTAATTATTTATCTTGAGTTTTATGGAGGGACTCGGCGAGTAGACGCTCAGACTCGCCGAGTAGGATCGCGAGTTCTTGTCTGTATTAATGACCGGACTCGACGAGTCGATGAGTGGACTCGGCGAGTCCGCGCTGTAAAGTGAAACCCTAAATCTCAGGGCTTGAGCCCTATTTAAAGGCCCTTATGGCCGTCAATTGCGGCCACTACTCCCCTGTGAAAACCCTAGAGAGCAAAGAGAGCTTAGAGAGCAATTTGGAGGCTAA